CATCTCTCAACTGACAACTAACAACTGCCTTCCACTTCTAAAACCGCGGTATTTATATTTTTTGATTCCCCACCGAAATTTCTCTATCCATGACAAATAAGATGATGCAATCTCCTTAAAATTTTTATCATTTTATTAGTTTAAATCGAATAATTATGTCGCAATTTCCTGATTTATAGAGGTCACAGATATTTTAGGTTCAAGAATGCCATAAATCATTTATAATTACTTGGCCTCGCTCTTTTAAGTTCATTGATTTAGGAGATGACACAGGCTTGATGACGAAACACTTAATATACTCCTGGACAAAATTATCGCACCACCACTGCACATAAGCACCATAAGCAGTGGTGCGATAATTTTGTCCAGGAGTATATAATATTAAACGTTAATTTGTTCCCTTTTCAATTTATTGATACTGATTTGGAGATACCGGAAATTCTGTTTTTGATTATTTGACATTTATTAAATTTTTACAGTAAAGACATTGATTTATGGGTCTATTTTCTCGGAATATTACACAAGTTGCTGGACGGTTACCGAGCAATTGAGATTTGAATATTTTGAAATTAGAATTCGAAGGGGTAGCTACTCCTATGAAAAACTCGATTATTTTATTTTTCAGTTTTGCTCAATTTTGACTGTATTTATCGATGGAGCGGGTCAAAATAAGCTGAAACTAACCCTGACATCAATTTCAAATAGCCATTTTAAGCAGAAACAAAAATAAAAATAAAAAACCTATTTTTGGCTCTGAAAAATTTTCCAAATCTTGACATGGTCATGAATAATTGACCATATCTTTGGTAAATTCTAAGCAAATTGAAATAAATTATATATCGTTAGAAATAGCATTAAATTCTCTCTAAATCTGCGCAAAATTGAGTTTGATAGCTCAAATAGTTTTTAAGCAATTAAGCCTCAAAGTTGACTTTTAGTCCAAATTTTGTCAAAAACTTCAAACTCAATTTGCTCAAAAACTATAAATCTGTAAATATTGTAAATTACAGGCCATTTAGAGCTTAATAAGAGGTACAAATGCTGAACATTTCAATGCGATTTGCTCAACAGTTACCGAACAAGTGAAGTTTGAATATGTTGAAATCAGATTTCAAAGGAGGTACCCTTATGGAAAACTCGATTTTTTTTTTTTTTCAGTTCTACTCAATTTTGACTTCAGTAATCGATAGAACGGGTCAGAATTAGTGGAAAACAACAACAAACATCAATTCCAAATGGCCATTTTAAGCAGAAACAAAAAGAAAAAGAAAATCCTATTTTTGGCTCTGGTAAATTTTCAAAATCTTGACATGGTCATGAACAATTGCCCATATCATATCTTTGTTAAATTTCTAGCAAATTGGAATAAATTATATACCATTGGAAAGAGCATTAAATTATCTATAAATTTGTATAAGAATAGTTTTTGAGCAATTGAGCCTGAAAGTTGACTTCTAGTCCAAATTTTGTCAAAAACTTCAAACTCAATTTGCTCAAAAACTATAAATCTGAGAAGATTGTAAATTACAGGCCATTCAGAACTTAATAGGAGTTACAAATGCTGGAAATTTCAATGCAATTTTCTCAACGGTTATCGAGCAATCGAGGTTTGAAGATTTTGAAATTAAAATTCAAAGGGGGCACCCTTATGAAAACTCGATTTTTTGAAGGGAAACTTCTTAGGCAGCGATTTGAAATTTGGACAAGGATATGGAAAGTGATCTGAAAGACGCGTCACGTTTTGGAAAATTTCGTTACAGGAGAGAAAAGAAAGTTGTAACGTAGACAATGACAGCCAACGAACGATTAAGACAAACCAATAAGGATTGATTATAAGCAAAGCCTATTTTTTCAAGCGCTGATACCCTTGTTTTGACCCTACAGATACGCTTCTCCCTTTTGTGGTCCTTCTTTCGTCTTTACCACGGTCCACCACTCATACGTTAAAGCCTAAAAATTGTATTCTATTCCAACGCTCTCAATTTCTTTCAGATATACTTTCCATATTCTCAGTAGGATAATTCATTACATGACTTATTTTCGCTGTCATCAGCCGATACTACTTCAAAACTCTCAGTAATTCTCCCTCCTGAAGTTGTTGATGGGTGTGACTTTAGAGACCAGTGGCCTTTAGAGACTAGTGGCCTCTTGAAATTAAAATTTGAAGGGGGTACCCTTATGAAAACTCGATTTTTTGAAGTGAAACTTCTCAAGCGGCGGTCTGACATTTGGACGAGAATAGAGAGTGATCTGAAAGTCACGTTTTGGCAAATTTTGTTACAGGAGAGAGAAGAAAGTTGTAACGTAGAGAGACTGAGAAAAACAACCAATGATAGCCGACGAACGATTAACACAAACCAAGGATTGATTTTAAGCTAAGCCTATTTATGTCAAGCGCCAATACCCTTGTGACGTCCTTACAGATGCGCGTCTCCTTTTTGTGTGGTCCTTCTTTCGTCTTTACCATGGTCCACGACTCATACGTTGAAGTCTAAAAATTGTATAATGTCCCAACGCTCCTAATTTTGTACTTTAGATGGGAGGGGACGGCGAAAATTGTCTAGGCACATCGGCGGCCCTGCAGCCACTGCTTAGCATCATCTCTTTCTTCTATATCAGAAAATTCATATTGTAAATTATCTACATAAGATTCTGTACTCAGTGCTACACAGTATTCTAGAAATTTTTGGCTGTGCTTTTATTCTGGTAGGTACTTCTCCTTACTGCTTTTTCCTCTTCTTCTTCATCATCACTTTCATCTTGTAATCGCATATTAGTCAATATTCTATTATTCTGGACCGCTGTTGTGACTTTCAGGTATAGGTACCTACCTACTTTCCACATTTTCAGTAGGTACTGCTTTACTTTTGGTAGGTAACTCTGATGATTCATGACATCTTATCTTCGCTGTCAACATCCGCTACTACTTCAAAACTCTCAGTAATTCTTCCTCCTGCTGAAGCTGAAGTTGTTGATGGGTGTGATTTTAGAGTAAATTAAGATTCATTAAATGTTCCATCATAACCTTCAAACATTTTGTTTTCTTTTGGACATCAAAGTCTGTTATCCATTTGGAAAATACAAGAAAACAATATTTATTTACGACTAATATATAATATAAGCATTATACTTGTGATTTTGGCAATATAATGTCATATATTATTCCCGCAGGGATTAATGGTCATTATTCCCGCTTGCACACCAATCACAAAGTTTCTCAAATTAAAACAAGTATAAGACCATGGAAACAATATGAACAAACTCAAAAGTGTCAGTGTCAAACGCGTAGTGCTTGTGTATTTGTATTGAGATGAAAAACGAGCGTTTTTAGAAAGAAAATCTCAAATAAATTAATTTGTCGTTAATAAAGTAGAGTACACTACTCGCAATAATGGCTATTATTCCCTCGGAATGTTACTCCCTCGCCGCTAACGCGGCTCAGTTCGTAAAAATTCCTCGGGAATAATAGCTATCATTATTGACTCGTGGTATAATCTACTATTGGACGTTCTAGTTATGTAGGTACTAGGAATGTTGCTTCTATGCACCTAGGTACCTGAAATATTGTGCTAAGAACCTACCTTACATAACATTATTTGAATATTGTCATACGAACATTATTATAATGTACCCTAAAAAATGTTATTTCGGCTAATATCTCTATCAAGTATTGAGAATATACCTACCAAGTTGTGCTGAGAAGTTTATGTAGGTAGGTAACCATGATAAGAATATTTTCATATTGTTCACCTTATTATCTAAAGTACCTACTCAAAAGTCTTAATTGAACAATTAAACAATAATGCTTTATCTAGAACCTACTAAAAATATTATAGGTATATTCTTTTTCTTCTACTTTGTAGGACTTTCAAGAGAGGGATCCACGCGCTATCAATGATCTCCATATTGCCAAGCATTTGAATCACCTTGGAACCTGTTTCTCTCAGTTGGCGTGCTTACCGCGACGAGAGCATAACAAGCTCGAAACCGGAGCTTTGGTTAAACACTTGTGTTTTCCAGAGAAGTTTTCCAACAACTCTTTCACTGCCTTTCATGTAAAAGGACGGAAAGTATCATTATTTGGATGCGAAAATTAACATTCCAAGTATATTCCTAGAATCAAACAGGAATATTCTTTTCAGGATGTTCTGAGAATTTTATAGGTATATTCTAGGAATATCCTAATAGATTTCCCAGGAAGTTCTTGGTTATTGCATACAGTATTTCTACAATCTCTTCTCAGAACATTCTCAGGACATTCGCAATGGTTTTGGCGAACATTCTAGGCACATTCCTCCTAAAAAAAGAACATTCCCATTACATTCTAAGGATGCAATTTTGTTATGCTCTATGAATAATCTATATATACCTATCTTATTGTCTCTCTATCGAGTATGAATTTCGTGAATATTACTATGTTCAGGGTTTAATTTAATTTATAATTCTACTACACTAAACACATGTTCAACTGTTCACACATATCCTCAAATACCTCTGTTAACAGCACTTGCTTCTCTTCGATGATTTTTTCTTTTCTCTTAAATTTAGGTACTACATCTTTTTGGTCGTTTTGTCGCTCTCTCATTTCTAATTTTGACCCTAACACCAACCTAGTTATTGACATAAACATGTCTTCTACATTTATATTGTCTTTTGCTGATGTTTTAAATAATTGAATATTCATTGTGTCCGCAAATCTTTGAGCATCTTCTGTTAATACAAATATCACAACTGTCAACATTGCATGGTTTTCCAAGCCCTAAACTAAAACTGTATGTACATTTTATCTTCATTTTAAAGATTGCTGTAGCTGAGGTAGTGTAGACTACTAACTTTCATTAGATTCGAGTAACATGACGTATCATCTAAAATTCAAGATAACATTTGATGACGATCAAATATTGTCATACTGTACAATGTAGTTCCTTATACCCGCAGTTGCATTCTGCAACACTCAGAACAAAAGTGTCCCAGTTTTAAGCGAGACCATGACATTTTAGGCGAACATTAGTACAAAAATTGCGAGATAATCAAAAACATTTCTACTTCTCAAAAACTTTTTGTATATATTTCTATAAACAGATATCAATAAGCATGATAATCCAAGCTTTCTCTCAAAGTCATACAATCAACTTCATCAATTTTCAAAGAATTAGTTTTCACATTCAAATCCTCTTCGAGTTGTATCTGGGTTTTTAGAAGATACCGTAGCGAAGCTTGAGCCTCCGCAAAAACCTCTTGCGTTTTACTCAAATTCCTTCTAAGCTCCACTGTTTCATGCGTCAAAGCAATTTCAACCAAATCCTTGCACAGTTCCATCCCAGGTCTTTGAGCTCTGTTACCGAGTCTAGTATGAGCCAAGGCCATGAAACCTTCTTTTTCCGACATGCATTTCTCTAATTCCGTAATGGTTCGTGTCATTTCATTGGCTTGTCTTACAACTTCGGAATGTTGAACTTCCATTTTGTTTTTGGCCTTTCGGATTTCACGAATTCGTTGCTTGAAAGCGTTATTTACTGCATGATACTGATTCCAAAGATCTTGGAAAGCTTGCCTGATAATTATGTCTGTATAAGTGCGGAATTGGCGAGCGGAGTTTATTTCTTTTGAGGCTTTTTCGATGTTGTTTTTGGTGAATTCTTCCCATTCCTCGTTTGTTATAAAGCCTTGGTTTAAAGGAGTGAAGCCGTGATACATGCTTAGATTAAGACTGGTTTCTTTAAGAATGCTGTTGTGATTATCGATTTTGGCGACGTTGCCTTTATCTTCCAAATCTCTGTCCATGAAGTAGGTTACTGATTTGAGTCTGCGAACTTGTTCATTTGCTTCTTCAAGGGTTGATTGGAGCATTTTTTGAGAACCTTCAATTATATTCAATTCTGCTTTTAGTTCGTGTTCAACGTCGTCTTCGCACAAGTCAATGCCAATACGTCCTTCTCTGAGTATGATACATTTTCCGCAAATTACTTTAGCGTTTCTCTGCAAACTAGCTAAACAATCTTTAATTCTCTCCATGTAAGTTTTCAAATCGTCGATTTCAATGCACACATCTTTTCGTTGTTTTTGAATTTCGACAGCATTAAATTCAATATCTATTCGACGGTTTTCAATTTGCTTATCAGTTTCATCTTTGTTGGACTTGATTCGTTCCTCGACTTCTTCCCTGACTCGGTCGGCCTCTTGGGTGACTAATTCGGCCAATTTTTGCTGATCCAAGCAGCATCTTTCTCTGTGTTGATGATTCAAGTGCCACTCGTTCAAAGTGTATCTCGGCGGAGGTGGACGGACAATAACAATGTGTTCGTGACTTAGTTGGTCCGATTTGATTTCTAGATTTTTAGCCATTTGTGCGAATTGGATATATTTGACAGGCGCTCAAAAATTGTTTGACGTTATCAACCAGGACTTGTTTGATGCTGGTTGTTGTAATTTCATACACGATTTACAAAGCAAAGGCAACGGAAATAAGTTGAAATTGAGAAGTTTCTGTATCTGTTGAAGAAGCACACTTTATGTGTCAAGTCAAAATTTAATCTTGAACTTTTTCAGGGCATGTTGAGACAAATTCCTCTAATTTTTCAATAGCTTCAACATTGCTAACTATGATTAATATACTGTATTGAGAGCTACGTGGGAAAACAAAAGTGATCCGAGTGAATAATTCTTTAGAGAATATGTAGGTATTTCTTTTTGTACTTCTCCACATCAATCTCTTCATTAACTTGCTTAATGATAATGTTTCGGCTATTCTACGATTTCGCAATAATCATTAATTACCACTAAAATATTATTTCAAAAGAAAATCTATTTATTGTAAAATTCTGTAACTTTCAAATTTTCCATTAAACGCATCATAGATTTGTCCTGAATAAGGGAAATTTCTATTTACTTCATATTGCCTGTAAATCAATAACTAGATTATTCTTGGATTTCGCTTTGTCAGGATATTGCAAATTGCAACTTTATTTACCAACAATAATACCTACCTTTTATTTTCCAATCGCTGAGTGTTTTTTTTTTTTTCAATAATACCTGGAATCTGGCAATTGATAGGATTTAGAGCGAGGATTTTTTCAATCAATTTTACATGACGCAAAAAGGCAAACAATTTTCACAAAAACAACATTTTTAAAACAAATTTTAATATAATTTAGCTACAAATACAATGATTACAAAACCTGTGCTGATAATGGTAACACTAGTGTTTACAGCAGGCAAGAAGGCTATTTATAATATCAACACTAAGAGAGTCTCTTTGTAAAAACATCCCTACTACAAGTACCTAAATACCTTTCTTAATTTTAAAATGATATGACACCATGCCGTTACTTGAATAAGCCGTCAGAATACTATTCGGAAACATAATACACTTCCTGGACAGATCGTCTTCGGGCATTTCATTGAGGCAATAATCGGTTCTGATGAGTCTTTTTTCGGGCCTGCGCATGTCGATGATACTAATTTCATAGACGAAATTTTTCAGTTCGCCTTGTGTACCCATAGCTTCGGCTGCCCACATACAATATTCACCTACTCTTTTGCAGGTCAATCTAAAACAAAAAATTTTATTAAAATTTACCAATTATTAATAAAAACTTACCTGAAAATATTTTCAAAAGCCAACAAAATTTTCCTATCGAAAACATTGTTGTACATCGAGTGCTGTTCCAAACGGAACGATTCCGTATAGCTGTTGGTTTCTGAGATAATCACTTGGTCAGAATGGAAATTTTGTAGATGGGTTACTATTGTGTCTTGACTTCCGGACAGTTTGCATTGTGGTAGAGGGCAATCATAGGGTTTGTATGGACATACGACTGAAATAATTTAATTTCTATATTAGAAAGCTGATAGAAGAGTACCAAGAATGGAGCCCGACAGTTAATATAAATATATAAAACAAAATATTCATGTGTAGGCACCCAAAACTGAAACTTGGAACTGGACAATGGCCAGGAAATTCTGCAATGTCAGGGATATTAGTACCTATTGACATTGACTTTTGAGCAATTTCCAACAAGATTGTAGGCTCCACTCGCAGCGACTATTTACGATTTTTCGCGAGTGTATATGGAATGTACGCTACTGCATGTGACTGCACCATGGACTCGGGTAGATATTTAGTTTTGCTGGCCTATTTACATTAGTGACTGATTTGGGCCAGTAATTATTTTTATTTAAATTATTGAAATATAAATATTGATGTATCCCCTTATCAGGGCCGTACTACTGTTCATTAAATATTGAATTGAATAATAAGAGAGTTATTTGAAGTTCAGGCTATTATTTTATTTCCTATTGGAAGCTTTAGGTCGGTGCAGTATTATTTGGCATCAGAGATTTCCTGTTTTCGGATCATCAGGGACTCTGTTTAACTTTAGGGCACTAAAGCAGGTGGCGCTCATTTCTGATTTTAGTTACTCACACCCCTCTCCGCAGTGGGAGCTTGTCGACTGCTCTGAAAACGGAGGTACCCTTACTGTTTTTTTTTTTTACCTTTTTTTAACCCAAACTTGAATCATTTCTGACTCCAACTGGAGTAGTGAAATCATCTCTTTTTCACATAAGTTGTTCCGGTGTTAGCAATTATTGACCCAATATTGATATATTAACAATTTACATCACAAAAAAATATCATGTTTGACTGCTACCAAAAGTTCAATCAATATCAGTTGACCCTTAATTCCCAATCCATAATGTTTTAATGTGTTAATTGGGAAACTGATATCATTTCAATATTGATAAATGATAATAAATTGGCATAATAAACAAAATTGGCATTATTTAATTAGGTGCCTAATTTTGTAAATAGTTGCTACCGTAAACAAATAATTGTTTGATAATATAGACAAATATTTACTTTCATGTCTGGTGATTTCAACGGGAGACAAAGACAGCATACAGCCCTGTTCGTGATAAGCACAAGGATATGAGACACCAGCTGTTAACCCTTCCAAAGAGTAATTCCTGGTCATTCCAAAGGGAGCACGACAAGATGGACACTTATCTAAACGAGGTTTACAATGGTTGCAGATGCTGTGACCTGAAAAAAAAATTAGTATATTATATTTGTATCAAAATATGACTGAAATCCTTACCAGATTGACATTGGAAAATAGGTGGTTTCATGAACCCTTTACAAACGGGACATTCGAAAAATTGCATCATCCTCTCGCCAATAGAAGACACCGGTGTATCATATGTTTTTATTTTAAATATATTTGTTATTCTGTTTGTGATTTTAACGGTTTGCCTTAGAGAAATCAAATCGACGCTGACTGCATCACATTCCTCTAAATTTTTGTAAATATAATTAGAATCTAAAACTCTGGATCTAGTTTTGATGTAGCTATCGCTATTGCCTTTATGTTTGACTGAGTAATCAAAATTACTTTCTTCTTCTTTAATATTACAAACAATATACAAAAGCCTGTTTTTATCCTGGCTCAATTGCATTTTCAATAGTAGTATGATATTCTTCATTACAAGTAGTTTAATAAGCTCTTCTTCGTTAAAATCCAAATAAAATAGATTATTTTCAAAGTTAATCACATGCTCGCCATGGTAATTTAGAAAATGTCCAACAAATTCTGTAGGAAAACCTTCCCACTGGCATTGCGTCACTGAATGCATAGGGCACCTTTTAGACCTATATCTGCAATTCTCTTCGTGATCTAATATGTCAGCACTGGAACTCCAATGTTCGCATCCGTTTTCACGGAATCGGCAAGGATAGCTCAAGGTAGTCACCAGTTCCTCTAAAGCTGTATTCTGTAAGCATTTGCTTTCCAAAAAGTTTTCATTGTAGCATGTAGAACAGAGGTTTCCTGCATATTCCACTAGCATCACTGGAGTGGATAGGAGGAGGTTTTTACATATCGCACAATGTAAAATATTTTTCTGTATCAGTTCGTCTGTTACAGTTTGCACTGATTTTGCCATATTTTCACTAGAAAAATCAACAAAATATTGTTAAATGAACAAAGACCCTGACACTATTTTTAAGCAGATCTGTTTAATGTATGACTTACACTTGATTGTTTACTCTTGAATGGCGACTGAATATATTTTGATATGTGTTTATATTGTTGAATCTTGCATGATTAAAGATTAGGCTATTCTTTTTGATTATTTGTAAAAATAAAATCAAAACTTCAACAAATGTAAACAAGACAAGATAACATAACCTTGCATTTATTCTTTTATTCTGAAGGGGTTTTCATTTCGCTTTGTCCTACATATTCCGTGCGTTCGGTATTTTGATCTGAGTTCTTCGAGCTTAAATTTGACGTTTGTTTATTTAAAAAGTGTACTCGGTGCAGGCTCATTCGCGTTCGTTTATAAATATTTCTAGCACTCTGATACAGCGTTCAACTACTCCGTTCGCTCGCTCGTCAAGTAATTACGGCTCCGCTCAGCACGCTCTGCTCTTTGAGCAAAATACCGAACGCAAGGTTTATCAACATTTCCGACTCTACTGCTACCGAGGAGACGTTACAAATCTCTGGGGGACTGCTCCGAGAACGATTATCCATGCGTTCGATATTTTGATCTGAGTTCTCCGAGCTTGAATTTACCGTTCGTTTATTTAAAAAGTGTACTCGGGCAGGCTCATTCGCGTTCGTTTATTAGAATTTCGGCCAATTTGATACAGCTTTCAATTTCTCTGTTCGTTCGCTGGTCACGTGACTACGGCTCCGCTCAGCACGCTCTGCTCTTTGAGCAAAATACCGAACGCAAGAACCCTTTTCACGTGGCTCCGGTTTAACAAGCCACAACATACCGCTCAAATTCGAGTGGTAGGTATCCATCACGACACTTTGTAACCGGGTTAGAAAACGGTATGTCATTTCTCTAACCGTTTTGTAACCCGGTTAGTTAAACCGGAGCCACGTGAAAAGAACTAAGGTATAATTCAAACGAGGACACACCATTTTGGAATCAATAGCCGTAATCCGAGCTGCTTTCGAGTGCCACCCTTTGAGTGCTCGCGAGTTACTCCGAAGAACTCTGGCTACAGAACTTTATTCTCGAAACAGGGAAGCAGCGTTCTCATTGGAACGAAGGTTCTGTCTTTGTCGCCCGGCATAACACTGACAATGACAGAGCAATCGTTCTTATGAGAACGCTGTTCCTTGGTTTTGAGAATAAAGTCCCTGCTTAGTCGCTGAGCTTAGCCGCTGGGACCGCCTGAATGTACCCATTGCTTTGACCAAACGCTTTGACGGAGGAAGGAAGAGCGTTTCGTGCTAATTGATCAAGTCGAATACGTGAATCTTGCCGAGAGCAATGATCCGTTTCAAGCCAAACATTTGAATCCGTTTCGGATCGCTATAATTTTTATAATCTAATCTCCTTTCCCTTGCTAGAACTTTGTGGAGTGAGCTCCATTTTCTCACCATAGTTACTCTATTTCAAGGAGAATACACACTCTAAGGGGTACTTATCGGCCTCGTTTTTGGTAATCGCCGCCATATTGGTGTGCCACCATTGCCGACGTCATAACCACATCATAACTAAGTCGTTAGCTGTTTAAACAGCCTACGTCAAGGCGAGAAATAACATGCTGCCTACGTCACAACTGGTATTTTGGCTTGGCGGGGAAGGGGGGATTTGTTACACACAGGCCTTATGAGGACAGGCCATCTTCTGGGAAAAACGACCCCGGGGCTTGACGCAATGATTAAAAAGAACGGTTGTTTATGTGATGACTGCAAAAAATAAAAGACACGAGCTACTTAATTGGTCTATTATCACAGAATCAGTACCTACAATTTTACAGGTGGCTAAAGCTGGTCACGTGAATACAGCTCCGCTCTGCTCTTTGAGCAAAATACCGAACGCAAGGCTAGATTCGGGTTCGGTAGAAGCATGTGGATTATCACAGTTTACATTTCAAAATCGTAATCCAGGGCGCCTTGGGGCGCCCAAGCCCCTGAAAAGAAAGCAGCTATGATATGCCATTGAACCTGATCTAATGTAATCAATCGAATGCAGCTCAATTTTAAGTATTGGGTGTTTACCGAAATAAGTGTAGGGGCCACAGCGGCCACCGGCGCGTTACCTTTTTTCGTTGATAACTGAATAAGGTGAAGGTGAACCGTGAACGATGATACTATAGGTCTGTTCTCACAGAAATCACAAACCAGGCAGACCATTTTTGATTGGCGCACATCGTCAACAACCAGTTTTCTGACTATTTTCAACCAAAGAATTTGCTCGGGCTGGTTTGTGATTTCTGGTAAGAACAGACCTAATGTTGCTGCCCTCGTGTAACTGCACCAGAGCGTGCCAGTGCAAAACGACTTTTTCACTTGCTTTGTCAATGGAATATGTATAATAGTGTGCTCCAGTGCATTCTCATTCGCGTTCGTTTATGTAAATTTCGAGCGCTTTGATACAGCATTTAAGGTTTAAAGTCAACCCCTATTTTCTGAACCTTGTGTTCAAAAATTCCAAAAAAAAATATATGTTTTATGGCGATCGATATACGCTGTGGATATACTTTAATCCATAATTTTTTTAAGCAAATTTGACTCGCCATTTTTGAGTTATATCGCAAAAACTGAAAAAAAAAGTAGTTTTTCATCATTTATTTCAAAACGAATAGATGAAGTTTCCCATTATTGTTATTACGAACCACTATTGTATTGCTTCTACGCGACATATATTTTTTTCAAATTTTTTGAACTTGTAGTTTTCTCGCTACTACAAAAATAGTTGCAAATACACCCGTAGCTATACTGTTTAGAAAAAAATCCGACGGATGAACGTTCAAAATTATTTGCGTTGGTCGAAACTACAACCCTATTTATGTAAAACAGAATAATACTTCGAATTTCCGCCAAAAAAAGAAAAAACGTTCCATCGCACAATTTAACCAAATAAAGATTTCTATTTTTTTTTTGACAGTCACACTATAGGGGCGACAGCATTGACATCTCGCGTTGCTGTAATAAACTATAGGCCTGATTTTAAACCTTAACTGCTCTGTGCGGTCACTGGTCACCTGAGCCGCTTTCTATGCACATTGGCGCGCTCTAGAGCACCTCGGGGGCGCCACGCACTAGATTTGTACCGTTCCAGTATCATGGCGTGAGACGCCTGTCTTAATGTCAAATATGTCAAATTTTAAAAATAATTATCTGTTTGTGCAGTTTGTTTTTTTATTTATCAAAAATGAAAGATAATCAAAACTATATATTTTAAAATGTTCAATCTTGAGATTTAACAAGAAATAAATAGATAAATAGCCACCCACAGATGTGACAGCTGATAGGTTGACGCGTACGTACAGCTCGGGAGCTCAGCGCCCCGAGTAGCTCCGGGCGTCACACTCCCATACTGGAAAGCGGCTCTGATTACTGCTATGTTTCAGCACGCTCTGCTTTTTGTGCACCTTTCCTTGTTCTTTAATACCTGAAAACCTGAAAATTAGCACAATTTTGTCAACGAAACCTGCAGCATTTGCAAAACTGCAAATGCCCACGACAAATGAACTGCTTTTCATTTGTCGTGATCTGGATCACTTTTTTATTGGTCGATGGGGTGAACTGATCTGAATGACTCGCACATTTCATCCGCGTATTCCTCGATAGAGTAGGATAGTTCTAGCCAGACTCAAGGGGTGGTAATTCCTTAGGGTAATTCACGCGGATTTGTTCAGACTGTCCTACTCGAAAAACACGCTTTTCAGAGCAAAGTGCAACGATTTGCGTGATTCGCTAGAGTGCTATTTTCAATAGAGAGTTCTCGTGCTGTCCAAATTTCAAATACCGTAACGCTATTTGACAAGTATGACAGGTTTTACGGTATTAATGGTATTAGCGTTAGCGGAGCCCAATGAACTATAGTCAAAAACTGGAATGCGCACACATTGCCATATCTGCCAAAAAAATTTAGCCATGAAAGACAGATGCCACAAAGGGGAATGCTGTTTTTTTCTGTTGCTCGCTGACATATGACGTTTTGGAAAGTTTTGTCATATTTACCTTCACAGGTTTCATCAATTGGAATACGTGCTGGAAGCAATTTCCGCCATTTAACATAATAAGTGCGACAAAAACAGGTATCCCCTCCGCAGCAGCGGCACTAGGCTTCAGGTTCGTCAATATGTGTTAGCATTCCAGTTTTTGGTTATAGTTCATTGGCGGAGCCCGTTACCTAACGGGAGTTATCGGGTGCCTTACCCTAACGCTATTCTATGTCAAAATTAGCTTACGCTCCATTTACATCTCAAGAACAGCAATTTCTAATAATTCCTCCATAAAAAATACCAAGGGAAAATTAATAAAACTCAGGAATCTTCAGGATAAATAAAAGTTAGAAAACAAGCAAAACAAGTTGAGTTAGATCACTCAACTCCTGTCAAAATGTAAACAGAAGAAAGCCTAGCTGCGAAATTCGCATTTTTTTGACATTGCGTTGACAATTTGACGTTTTATGCGTGTATCAAACGTCAAATTGTCGATGTAATGTCAAAAAAATGCGAATTTCGCAGTTATGAGTACTAGGCTTTAGGGAGGATTTTCATGCATCCGTTTTTCCGTCGAAATATGTCCGATTGACGTTCTATTTTGACATATTTATATACGATTATGTCAGAATAGAATGTTAAACGGACATATTTCGACGGAAAAACGGATGCATGAAAATCCTCCCTAAGGGATTAGAGGATTTTTGCGTTTTCGTGTCCGAGTACTATAAAATACGGTATTGTTAGCGGTGCCGTATTAGCGTAGCGTCTGAGACACGAGAACTTTCTATTAGAAAGTACTCGTGCCTCAGACGCTACGCTAATACGGTACCGCTAACAATTAATACGGTATTTTAGATGGTATTTTATAGTTCTCGTACACGAAGACACAAAAATCCTCTAATCCCTTATTTTGTTTATATTTTGACTGCTGAATTGAGTGATCAAACCTAACTTTTTTTGATTGTTTGCCAACTTTTATTCATCCTGAAGATTCCTGAGTTTCATTAATGTTCCCTTGGTGTTTTTCATGGAGGAATTATTAGAAGTTGCTGTTGTTGCAGACGTAAATGGAGCGTAAACTCAGTTTGACATAGCATAGCGGGACGGTAAAGCATCCGCTAACTCCCGTTAGGTAGCGTGCTCCGCTAACGCTAATACCGTAAGAACTGTCATTCTTGTCAAATAACGTTACGGTATTTGAAATTTGGAGAGCACGAGAACTCTCTATTATTCATTTTTGCGTGCGGTATTTTGCTCGAAGAGCAGAGCGTCCTTGCGGAGCAGTAATCACGTGATCAGCGAGCACACAGAGCACTTGAACGGTGTATCGGCGTTGGAAATTTTAATAAACGAACGCGAATGATCCTGCACCGAGCACACTTTTTAAATAAACGAACGGTAAATTCAAGCTCGGAGAACGGAGAACTCGGATCAAAATACCGAACGCACGGTTAATTACCTGAAAGTTTGGACCAAGGAGACCTGAAAAACACTCAAAAATCAAAATACCGTTGTATTGATCATATGTGACTCATGAATCATGATTATTGATGAGAATGCAGCCTACCTATTTCGAGATTTGTTGGTTTAGATCTGCTCGGAGCATATGCAAACGAAAAACCCCTGTCAGCTCACAGTTCAGCTGTTTGTTGACATTAGCAGATGTCAGATAAATTCAATAATCAGATGAGGCGATTTCGGCAAGCTTTGGTTGGTATACCATTTGGTTAACCAATTGGTACCTGCAACGTCATAGTAATGACGTAAGATACCATTTTGTTCCGAATTCGTTTGGTAGGTCATGAGAGAGGAAGAGACGAGCCTTAACCTAACTTTGTGTTGTTCTTCTAGTTTTGGGAGTGACTAGGTACTTACTGCACTGACTAAAATCTATAATCACTAATCAGCACTGTCTAAACAGTACTTTTGAGTAACCTGGCTAACTCAGCGTTTTCTGTAAATTTAAAGCATATTCCATAATCCATTCAGCAAAAAAATTACCCCATATCTGTCGTTCAAAGTTATTTTTTAAATGATAGTCAAACATTATTTGGCAGTCAAAACATACGAGAAAACAGGAAGATGAAGGCGAAAAAACAAACATATTTGCTAAAAATTTCAAATTATTATTCAAATTCTAATGAACTTCCATTTATTTACATTTCCCAGAGCAGGACAAAACGAAAATAGACGTAGATAGCGCTATACCAAATAGAAGAACCGTGCTGCTGACCACGGTATCCTATTTGACAGACCAAAAAGGATACCAAAGTCACGGTGACGACATCATTTTCGTATCGGAAATTGGTTGGTATGCATTTGACAGACCAAACAGGGTACCAAACCATGTACCAAAGCTTGCCGAAATCGCCTATGGTCAATTAAAATGTATAAAAATAAACAAAAAATTCACTGAGTTTGCTTGCCACAGGAACACAAAAGAAATTCCGATTCATTATTCATTGTATGTACAAAAAGAACGCCATTGCATTTGATGTTTCATGCCTAAAGATAAGCAGTTCGAACCACCACAAAATTCCTGGTTAAATCATTATGGTTGATATAAAAGGAAGAATATTTTAATGATGTGGATTTCCAAAGTTGCAGTCGGATTAATCGTTTCAATGGTTTTATTGGCAATATTCTTGGCTAACGTTATCAGTTTGATAAACACGCATTCGGTAGAGTACAATGACCAGAACAAAGAAGAGGTTTTTCAAATTGGGGATAAGTTTAACAATTTGATTTGGTTTTTACAGGTTGGTACTTACATATTTATTACAGATTTACCGTATAAGTTGTTTGTTTTCACTAGATCTAGGTCCTTAATCTTGAAACTGGGGATCAGCGTTCCCAGGAGAACCAGTGTTTTGTCTTTGTTCCTTATATTGTCATTTGCATATCATTGAGAAAGACGGAACACTCGTTCTCCTGGGAACGCTGCTCCCCTGTTTCAAGAATAAGGACCCTATTCAAATGATACCTATGTCTTTGTGTCTTCTACTTTATCAATGATTATTTATTTAGCTTGCATAGTGTTGTAAAATTCTTGGTAATTTTCGAACGTTACCGAACTTTCGGGAACGTTTGAGAATTTTCGAGAATTTATGAGAACTTTGGAGAATGTTGCAAAGACACCTATAAATTCGGCTTTTTAATGTAGGGCTTGTAAAAATGTCTATTAATAAACCTCTATGTAGTCTGTGTCTAAAGATCACCCAAATCTGTTGCAACTGAATTTTTGACAGGCCTGGATTGTCTTTTGGTTGAAATTTCTTCATCATCTAATGTTATGCTTGCTGGAGATTTTAACATAGATTACAGAGACGGCAATGCAATATCCACCTTTGCATTAAAAAATATCTTTATCTCTAATGCCCTGAATATGCATGTCACAACAGCCACACGTATAACAAAAACAACATCATCCTTAATTGAATATATTTGTTCCAGCTATAGTCAGTAAGAGGTAGAATGTAGGGTAGTTAATTCAGCATTGTCAGATCATGAGGCAGTGGTTTGTGACATATCGGAGCCCAGAGTGATAAATAAACAAAAATCTAGGCGTGGTCGAATATTCGACAGAAGCAGCTTTAATAGGTTTTACCAATCATGTAGCCGGGAAACCTGGAATCAAGTGCTGACATCTGAAGAACCTTTAAGTTCATTTCACCAGAAAACGACAAGGATTTTTAACAATTGTTTTCCTGTAAAAAATATAAAAACAAAAAGGGAAAAACCATGGTTTACCAAGGGCTTAAAAACTTCCTCTAGGAATCTTCGCTGTCTTCATAGGAGTAGAAAATATACAGATAGTCCATTTTTTTATACTTACTTTGGTTCCTACAGGTCTTTGTTTCGTAGACTGATTGCAGCTGCAAAAAAGCGGTACTACTCCGATCGTCTAAGTAATTCTTCTAACAAACAAAAAGAATGTTGGCATATTATAAATAATATTCGTTCTAATAATTTTCAAAAGTCACTATCACATCCGGAAGTTTCTTCTGACAACCTGAATCAGTACTATTGTAATATTGGGAAAAATTTAACAAAAAACATAGGAATTCGTAAAGATCCAATGTTGTATATGTCTCATATTTCAGTACCCAATTCATTTGCATTTACACCAACCGATTTAGCTGAAGTTAAACAAACATTAAAAAGCATCAAGAATAAAAATGCGTCGGGAGAGGATGGATTGTCTGTCAGAATATTGCTTAATATGCCTGAAGTTATTATAGCCGATATTTTAGTCAAAGCTATTAATCACTCTTGGACGAGCGGGGTATTTCCTTCGAGCTTAAAATCGGCTTTAGTGATCCCGCTTCATAAGGGTGGAATTGAATCTGACCCTGCTAGTTTTAGGCCCATTTCAATGTTGTCTACCTTGTCTAAATTAATTGAAAAACTAACAAAAACTCGAATCATGTCATATCTTGAGTGCAATAAATTATTGAGCAATGCACAATTTGGCTTTTGCACCAATACAGGTACTAATAATGCTATGTTCAATCTGCTTTCACACGCGCTCTTTTCCTCTTTAAATAAGTCAAATGTATCGGCCGCGGTTTTTTGCGATCTGGCTAAGGCCTTCGATTGTGTAAATCATTCTATTCTTATGAAGAAACTGTACCATTATGGGTTTAGGGGGGTTTTATCATGGTTCGAGTCATACTTACAAGGAAGGACGAAGGACACAGCGAGTAATTATTAATGATCAGCCATCAAAACCTGGAAACATTGAATGGGGTGTACCACAGGGGTCGGTCTTGGGTCCTCTCCTTTTTCTGATATTTTTTAATGATCTTGCCAGGCTCAATATACAAGGAAAGTTCACCATTTTCGCTGATGACACTACGATTCTGTGGTCTTGTAGTGATGTTGACACTTTAAGAACCATGATTTCAGGGGATTTGGATCTTGTTAAAGAGTGGTTTGATTTAAATCTGTTAACTTTAAACGTCGATAAAACTAATATAGTTTGTTTTAGATGCAGTATAGATGACCTTAGGGTGGGGGGTGATTCTCTGACAGAGCGTAATCACAGCAAATTCTTGGGCTTGACAATCGACTCTGGCTTGAAATTTGAGGATCATATTAGTATATTGAGTAAAAAAATTGCGTCTGGTTGTTATACAGTGAAAACAACAGTTAACGAACTCGGATTCGCTTTTGGAAAGACGCTTTATCATGCTTTGATAGAGTCGCACCTACGTTATGGTATTGCCTTCTGGGGTTCTACCAACAACCAACTACTTCAAATAATTTTTGCTTTGCAAAAGCGGGCAATACGGTATTTGTGTCATGCCAAATTTAGGGAGTCATGCAGGCCTTTGTTTGTGTCTAAAAAGATTCTAACGGTCATATCTTTGTATATTCTGGAATCTGTTTCTCTTATATATGTGCATCAAAATTATTTTCTTTGTCTGTCGGGTGGATACAACACAAGATCTATTCAACAGAGAGATTTGCAACTTCCGATTCCGAAATCTACTCTGGTTCACAAGTCAATCTGCTACAATGGCATAAAAATGTTTAACCATCTGCCTCAAAAAATTAAGATGTCCCCGAATCTAAAAATGTTTAAAAGAATGGTTACAGTTTTACTTGTTGATAGGGGCTATTATAGTCTGGAAGAGTTTTATCAAGACAGATTTTGACACAATTAGCTTGGTTGGTTACATGACATTCAACTCTACACTTAATAAGAAAAAAAAAAAAAAAAAGTATAAAACATGCGTACAAGAACTGCCAGTTTTTCAACTAATCTGTGATATCTTAAGTTTTTTAAAGTGTTAATTTTATGTAAATTTTAAATTGTTTTAAGTTTTAGACTATCTTAACCAGGTTTTTTGTGTAGGATATGTATTTTAGTATAAGCAAGCCTTATTTTGAATGTGACTAGTTTTATGCTATTGGCTTTGTCCACAAAACAAATTGTATAGTTTTTTATGACAATAAAGCACATTATCTATCTATCTATCTATCTATCTAATAAAATTCCACTAAATTTTCCTATTTTTCTTTTCTCTGGTATAGGTAGGTGAATTTTCTATAAATGTAGATGTAATTCTTGTCTAGGTATTATTAATTTTTTGTAAAGAAAATGATAATATTTATAAAACTAATACAAGTCTTGTTTCTTGTACGTTGGTGTAATAAAAAACAAACTAAAAACAACATAGATGTAGGATGTAGGTATAGAAAAAAAAAAAAATATATATATATATATATATATATATATATATATATATATATATATATATATATATATATATATATATATATATATATGGTCGGCCGATTAGATACTCAGTCACCATATTTCAGCGAAAATTGCTGTTTGGTGTTGAAGCTTTGTCTTAGATGGCGCCACGATCAAATTTCGACCGTTGTACTATATATATATATATATATAAGAAGAATGGACGTTGTTGCTGACAAGTACGAAGACAATTTTGGGAATCGATTTGGGGAATGCAGCAAAAATAAAGTGTACTCTTTAAAGTTTATCCGAGCTTTCGATAATGTTTATTATCATCTTCAGGGAAATCTTTGGTGAGATTATTAAAGATAAATGTTGTGTAATTGATCTGTTCCATTAGCATCGAGGACAGTGAGAACTTAATTATTAGTCATTAATACATAATAAGCTTGTTAAAAATTATTGAGAAAGGATGAAAGATTGTGTAAATGGGACAATACAACATATTAAAATATTAAATAGTTACAGAGAGAGACTTTTACAATATATCACCCTGGGTTTGAGGATCATCCATCAAATGTCTAGACATTTGATGGATGATCCTCAAACCCAGGGTGATATATTGTAAAAGTCTCTCTCTGTAACTATTTAATATTTTAATATGTTGTATTGTCCCATTTACACAATCTTTCATCCTTTCTCAATAATTTTTAACAAGCTTATTATGTATTAATGACTAATAATTAAGTTCTCACTGTCCTCGATGCTAATGGAACAGATCAATTACACAACATTTATCTTTAATAATCTCACCAAAGATTTCCCTGAAGATGATAATAAACATTATCGAAAGCTCGGATAAACTTTAAAGAGTACACTTTATTTTTGCTGCATTCCCCAAATCGATTCCCAAAATTGTCTATATATATATATATATTCGAAGAGCGAATCTTAATTAATATAAAAAAATAAATTTAAAAATAAAAATAGTAACTCTAAAAAAAGGAACTTAAAAATGGTAATAGGTAATGGTAATAACACAAGTAATTATAGAATAAAAAAATGATAAAAATATTCAGAAATCAGGGTCCATGTCCATGATTAAACGATTAGGTAACGTTTAGACATGCATTTTCAGCGAACTTTCGCTTAGAGAGGAGCGAACATTACCGTAAATTACGGTAATACTGCGAACATTCGCTCGGTAAAGTTTGCTTGTTACAACACTAAGCTTGCATATAACAAAATATTACTCATCTATAGAAGTACGCTCAAGAAAGTATTATCATCACCTGAGATTATCATAACACTCTCTCTTAAAAAGGACATCAGGAAAATCAAAAGATTCACCCCAAATTGCTTAAAGGGGGTGTGACCCTAAAAAACAACTTAGGCTACTTAAAACAAGAAAAAAAACCTAAGATCTCTCGTGAAAACCGTAGTCCTATATTCAAAATAGTTTCCGAGAAAATTCCTTGTGAAGATAAATTATGCAGGAGTTTGTTACGTCACAACCGCCGAAATCACACTCTTCTGTTCATTTAGTCGGCATTAAACCGTATTCCATACTTGAGTGGTTGCAATTCGCTCTAGTGAGATAATTGTCTTTTATTTTGGATTTTTTTTTTCATGTAGCGATTTTGTGTTTAACTGATCTTTGGGATCACCCAAACTTCATACACTAAATTATTCTGAGATTTGAAACTGAAATCAGAAGATTCCCCCAAATTATTTCTGGAACTATAAACTCAAATGAGCTGAAATTCTCAGTGATTGTAGTCCTCCACAAGGATAAGAAAGAATTGCTGAAAATTCCAGCTTTCTATCTATAATAGAAAAAAGTTATGATTATTCAAAGTTCTATGTATTATTAATTTATTGGTTCAAGAAACAAGGAAGTATTATTTATTATTATAACAACAAAAATTATTGGTTTTTAGATCTCAGACATTCACATAAGTATATTTAGAGACCCCTCGAGAATAACCGAGTTTAAAGAGTTTTGTGACTACACCATAGATAGAATAAAACCGAAAGTTGTCCTAGCAACTGGAGACCTGACTGATGCTAAAACCAAAGATTCCATCGGATCTAGACAATACAAATCCGAATGGCAACACTACAAAGATATTTTACAACAGTACGAAATTGAAAAGAAAACTATTTGGTTAGACATTAGAGGAAATCATGGTAATTAAATTACTTCACAAGCTTAAGCCATTATTATGATCTCATTTATTCTTTTTAGATAATTTTAATGTAATGAGTGTACAATCTAAGTACAACTATTTTACCAACTACTCAATTCAAGGAAAAACAAACCCCAAATCTTACATGATGCAAGTGAAACAAGGAAACGAGATTTATTCGTTTTTGGGGGTTGATGCATGTTTGGAACCAGGTAAGATAGAAATTGGAAACTGAAAATAAACACAATAGAAAATATTAGAAAAATCCATGTGAATTTCAATATAAAAAGTCACCTATATCTGAAATCAACTATTCAGGTAAAATGATCTGCAGCCAAAATCAATTTTTTTTTAGGTCCAAGAAGACCTTTTAATTTTGTCGGAATGATAGACGAACCTGAAGTACAACAAATAAATCATTTAGTGAAGGAAATTGAAAAATCAGGTGGGTAAATATTTCTAATCAATAATCCTACATGATACAATAATAATAAACATAATTCCATATTTAAATCTACTTGTTAATGCATGCCGCATTCGGATGTCCCTATCGGAATATAAATTAACATTTTTTAATTATAAAACGAATCAATAATATATTTGCACAACTGGATAAGAATGCACATTAACTTATACGCGGATCAAGACGTGGACTTTAAAATATGTTTTTGATTTGCAATATTCATTGTATTTATTCTCAAAAATCATACTGGCTTAAAATTCCATTGTCTAAATTGAATTTGAACACAAATTAATCTGTGGTGTATTTATATTTTCTTCAGGAAGCAACTACACAATATGGTTTGGTCACTTCCCAACTTCATGTATTCTATCGTCCGGTTCAGAAAATATTAGAAGTTTAATTAAAAAAGATTCAAAAGGATTTGTTTATGTGTGCGGCCATTTGCATACTTTAGGTGGCTTGGTCACAAATATGTATACCATGCAAAAAGGTGACTATTTGGAACTCGAACTGGGAGATTGGAAGGATAATAGAATGTAAATAGACAAGAAGGGTCTTATATAAATAATTTAGATTGTTAATTTGAAGGTATCGGCTTATGGCTATAGATCATGGTTTGTTTTCCTTTATTGACATACATCACAGGGACTGGCCAGTGATTCTACTAACCAATCCCAAGCACGCTCTATTTTTCAATCCTTCAAAGGAAAATATTAGAAATATCAGGCAGTCAACTCATATAAGGTAGGAAATTATTTCATTAATGTTTCAAAAATATATTTTTTTTCTTACAGGGCTCTAGCTTTTAGTATTGCAAGAATAGAAACTGTTAGGATAAGAATTGATGGTGAATCTTGGACTGATTTGAAGCATATTAAGGGGCCTCTGTATGTGGCTACTTGGGATGCACAAAGATATAGTCAAGGACTTCATAATATTGAGGTAATTTTATTTATTTGTTTAAGTTGTTGGATATTTTGTAAATTTTATCTGCAAAAATTTTCCAAAAGAATACTACATTATCCTACTCTATGGCTCAATAATTCCTGGTTAGCAAACATGGTACAGCAGAGTTATTTATTTATGTTTATATTTAGTAGAATGTCTGAAAATGTATCTAACAAACTGGTAAAATAAAGAAACTATCATTGGTGTATTTTATGATATAATGTTAAATGAAACTGGTGTTAGTTGCTGCCAAAATCTGGTGATTAAAATAATATCAAAATTTTCCTTTTTTTTTTAAAGATTTACGTGAAAGATATTGATGGCAGAGAAAAGACTGAAAAAATCCCATTCTCTCTAGATGGCACAAAATTGTCATTCGGCCTACTCTCAAGATTCGCTCTCATGTCGAATCTTAGCTGTTTGGTAAGGTAGTGATTTGATAAATTAGCCTCAAAAAATATTTGGTACATTTTGATTTCAGTTTAAGACAGTATTTATTATTATCGTCTCCCTTAACATTTTTCCATTAATACTTACCAGATACTTCCACAAAGCTGTAATGCGTAAGTAAACACCACTTTTTAAAAAAAAACTCTTGTTACAGAAGTCCCTCATCTGATTATTGGGTTGCAGTTCAGTTTTCTTGGCTCACAGTTCTGGCAAACTATTTTTTTTATTATTAGGAAAAATGTTCAACATTTCAAATACAATCCTATTGGTGTAGAAGTATAGATCTTATACAGGCTGAGATCACTTTCTGTTGAAATTTTGGCTGAGAGTTCAGTGCCAATATTGCAGAAAAATGAAATTAGGTCATCAGGATTCAGATTGCTTGAAGTGACTGAAACATTATTCCTATTCTCAGGTCATTCACAATTCTCCAAGTTTGCCTTGATCTATTAGAAGAACTATTCATCCTATTCTGAAAGTAAGTCCACTTGGCAAGCCTGATTGATCTCCTGTAAACCCTACGGTACCTGTCAAAATAATTCAAAAATGTTAAATTGTTCATAGAGAATTTTCTTATGTAATGGAGTGCATAATTCTCCCAGAAGTTCACAGGCTCTTTGTATACCAGGGTTTTCTCTTTCGTTTCTTCATACTGACAATTGGAAATGTAATGTTAAAATTACCCAGTAAGACCTAATGAAAGTGTTGCCCTAGTATAAAGTCTACTGGTTCTTAACCACCCTGATCAGTTTAACTGCCAAATGGCACAAGTCCCATTACTGATTCGTGCTCGGACAAACCGGCATTAATCGTTTCAATTTGATTGGAATTCGTACAGAAATAATCCAATATCGAAGCAAAAGATGCCGAGAAGCGGGTTGGCCGCTCCACGTGCATTTTCAAATTAGAAGATGTTAAAATAACATTAGGACTCAAAGAAGTTTCTTTATAGATAATAATAAGCCTTCATTTCAAAAGTCACTTTAAATAACATCAAATATAATCAAACAAATATCAAGGAAGTCTGAAACAAGAGTTTCATTTAAAAGATTATCAATTTTTTGGTCAAACTTGGCTTAACAATTTTTACATGTATTTTAGTTAGTAGATTTTCCCTACCAAGAATGCGTGGTAACTTCCAGAAGTCGTGGTTAAGAAAACTATGGATAATGACAACCATAGATCGTATATTTTGGCCGATGGTCTTGTATCCAGTCTACCTTATTTTCGGTCCTTGGTCTATCGGTTTTATTGTCGAAGATTATCTGGGAGTGATTTTTTCGTGGGGCATTTTCGTCGGCGGATCCTTTTTGCCAGGATCTTTTACATACGCTTATGGAGTTATACAGGTAAAGTATTATTTTCAAAGATAACTTTTCTCTACCAAGAGATTCGTTTTAATAATAAAGCTTGAGTCTGAAAAATAGCTTATTTCAGTCCAGAAGCTCACAATTATCATCTCGGAACTGTAATGAGCTATTTCTCAAATGAGCATATAATAATGAATTAGTAAATGTGTACAACTTAAGAGAAAAGCTTGCTAGAGGTTTATGGGAGTCTTAATGCAATATTAATTTCAGATTGTTACATTCCAAATTCCATTGACCTTTATTATCATCAACACTGTCAATAGAAGGTAACGGATTTATTGCCAACTAAAAATATATTTTTAATTGATATCAATTATTTTAGATACACTGAAGTCTTACTGAAGACTGCTAAAAAATCAACAATAAAACGTCTTATATTCATGCATCTTCCTTTCGGCCTAGTGTTCTTAATCCAATTGGGCATGGCTTATCTTTTTTGGTTGGCCTACGGCACGTTGGCCTTTATTTTAGGGCCTCTACGTACGTGGTCTCTTGTTTTAGCCGCTGCATTGTATTATGTCGCCCTGCATCTACCAGAAAAGTGTTTTAGGTAAGTCAACACCGTTTACAACAATTAATTTTCATGCTCAGAAATACATTATGAAAATTTTAGGCAAGCCAAACAAATTTGCTTAAATAAATCTGAACTAAACATCGCTGAAGATATTGTGGATGCTGCGCTCGAACAATCTTCGGCTGGAAAATTGGGTAAAGGTAACTGAAAGTGATATTAAGTTTATACATTTTATTTATTTATAAATCTCTTGTGATATTTCAAAACTAATATGTAATAATATAATAAAATTAACTTTTTTTTTTCTTAGATTTTGTGGCATTTTGATACAATATTTTAATTGTTTATTCAACTAGTTACCTCTATAAATTTGATGTGCCATTTTAGGTCTAGAATAATAGGTGAGCGCTTATTGAATGAGTAATCCAATAATTGATTACATTTGATATTAAAATAACAAGTAAATCAGATAAATAGTGTGCAACAGAAATCCTATGCTTCTATATCACTTTTATAATGTCCAAATCGATTAGTAGGTGGACCATGCAGAAAAAAATCACGTGGTTAAAAATCGCTCACCTATTATACCTTAACTATTTATTAATTACAGAAAAAAAATATTTAGATATGTGCTCAAAAAAAAAAGACGCTTCTCTATCTGAATACTTGTAGTACTTCTAGACTGATTTTTTTTAGAAATAGGTACTCAATAATCACACATATTTTTGTAGTTTTTAAATAATTTTGTGAGGGTATTTGAAAGAATAACATCTGATATTGATATTGTGGCCTATATTAAGCCTTTCAGATTTTGACTGATATCAAAATGCCTAAAAAATATCTATTTATTGTTAAAATACAATCTAGTGAATGTCTATTTTTGGCACTGGTAGAGAATATTGTGGTGAGAAAAGTTTAATATTTTAGCAATAATTTAGGTAGGTAGTTAGTTTGTGATATTTATTTAATTTGACTTCATATAATTTTATGTTCCTTGCAATGTAACTTATGAAGATTTATATTACCTGTAATTTTTGCTTTCAACATACATACCTACTAAATATAAAATGCATTTAATGTTTTTATTTATAAAAAAATTTAGTATTGAGATTATTATGTGTGAATATAGAAAATAAAACACCACAGGATATAATACTTTAATTATATTTTGCGTTAACTTAAAGTCATTGATAAATATTAATTAATTACAACTGTGAAAAACCACCCTACACCTAATTGACAACATTTTTTATAACTAATTTGGTTTACTAGCATAAACAATAATTAATTTATAATTTACGTCTATTTTCCCTTCATTATTATTATCACAGTCGTATTTGTAAATTTTCGCTATTTCGTTCATAAAGTCTTCTAAATACTGGACTTTTTCTTCTGAATCAAGTTGAGGTAGAGTCGGATTAACTGCCACTATTGAACCTAAAATCACAAAATCAGAAAAGTCGCATTTGATTCAATTAAACTTTTCACCTTCTAATAGTTTCAAATTCGGAAAAATAAACTGTCGATCCTCGACTACGCATTTGCAATTCTCGAACCCTATTTCCAATAGCATTTTCTTCAAAACCTTTCCTGGGTCCTCGCAGTTGTGATAAGGCGAAATCATTTCCGGTCTCAGATATTTGGCCCAAATTATTTTTTTGGATATGTTTTGATATACGTCGAATATGGGGTTAGTTCCGAGGAAGCTCAGCAAAATATCTCCGCCCGGTTTAAGCATGTTGTAGATATTTTCAAAGACGGATCTGAAATTATATAGAATTTTAGTAATATTCTATGTAGGATTTGCAAGAGACACAATATTTTTTGTCAATCTTGGCAGAAACACTGCTTGCATAAATCACAGACAGAAAACACTTGGCAAATGTTTAGGAATCACAAGTTGTGGAGCTGAAGCCATAGCTTTCTATTTCAACTAGAGTATAATGATACTTACAATCATGACAAAACGAAATGCAAAGTATTACAGTCAATCACAAGTCATTAGACTAGCAGGCATGGGTGCTAGCTAGTACAAAGACAAAATATAGGAATACAAAAATTTAAAAACGTAAAAAGTATAAAGTATAAGGAAAATGGATAAAGTTAAACACATTTATACAGGCAAGAGAGATACTGGGGGGGATGGTACGAGGTTTGATATTTTGCTTGAAAACATGGTTAAACTCGTAATCATAGGTTGTTTTGTGATCAGCAGGAATTTTACTATACATTTTTGATATTTGGTAGCTAAATGATCTCTCATACATTAATGTAGCATACATGGGACGAGTTATTGTAAATTTATGTCTAAGCTCCAACATCATAGTGAAACCTAATTTCATTATATAGATAGCCAGGACATCTTTTACAAATCAATTTGTTAAACAGAAGTAAACTATGCAGTCCGCATCTTTCATATATTCTTAGCCATTCAATTTCGTATAAATTGGCACTTATGGCCCCTAATACTACCTCTTGACTGTTAATCTATAGTGTCGATTTTCCAGAATCTTCAGAGTTTTCAGTATTGAGTCGCTAGGATCTTGACAGTCTTCATTCAGAGTTTCCAGAGCCTGAAATCTATGATTTTATCACATTTATATCCAGTTTTAAACTAAGAATTTTCAGTCTTTGATATCTTGTCTGTTAATCTATGGCATTGTGGTGAGAGAAAACTGAAAAATTACTTCAAAATTTAATATCTTGACTGAGTCCTCAGGTATTGATGTCTTCTGAATTACTATAAATTCATGCCTAAGGAGTCTTTAGTGTCAAGTTTCCAGAATTTTCAGTATTGTGTCTAAACTCTTCAAAGTCTCAGAATCTTGACGGTTTACATTCAGAGTTCCCAGAGTCGGAAATCTAAAATCTTATCACATTTATAACCATTTTTAAGCTAAGAATTTTCAATCTGTGGAATCTTGTTTGTTAATTTCTATGGCATTGTTGTTAGAGAAAACTGAAAAATTACTTCAAAATTTAATATCTTGACTGAGTCCGAAGGTATTGATGTCTTTAGAATCTTTAGATTCGGGCTTAAGAAGCAGTGTCAAGTTTCCAGAGTTTTCAGTATTGAGTTTTAAGTCTTCAAAGTTTCTAGAATCTTGATAGATTTTTTCATCCAGAATTTCCAGAGCCTGAAATCTAAGGTCTCATCACATTTGTATCCAGTTTTGAGCAAAGAATTTTCAGTCTCTGAAATCTTTACTGTTAATCTATACTGTCGATTTCCAGAATCTTCAGAGTTTTCAGTATTGAGTCTTAAGTCTTCAGAGTCGCTAGATTCTTGACATAGTCTTCATTCGCAGTTTCCAGAGCCTGAAATCTAAGATCTTATCACATTTATATCCAGTTTTAAGCTAGGAATTTTCAGTCTTTGGCATTTTGTCTGTTAATATATGGCATTGTTATGAAAGAAAACTGAAAAATTACTTCAAAATTTAATATCTTGACGGTCTACATTCAGAGTTCCCAGAGTCGGAAATCTAAGATCTTTTCACATTTATATCCAGTTTCAAGCTAAGAATTTTCAGTCTGTGGAATCTTGTCTGTTAATCTCTATGGCATTGTTGTGAAAGAAAACTGAAAAATTACTTCAAATTTTAATATCTTGACTGAGTCCTCACCCTCAGGTATTGATGTCTTAAGAATTACTAGATTCATGCCTAAGGTGTCTTCAGTGTCGAGTTTCCAGAATTTTCAGAGGTTTCAGTATTGAGTCTTAAGTCTTCAAAGTCGCTAGAATCTTGACAGAGTCTTCATTCAGAGTTTCCAGAGCCAGAAATCTTGGATCTTATCACATTTATATCCAGTTTTAAGCTAAGAATTTTCAGTCTTTGAAATCTTGTCTGTTAATATATGGCATTGTTATGAAAGAAAACTGAAAAATTACTTCAACCAATTACTTCCTGACAACCCTCTTAACCTTTCCCGTTAGTATGAATCTAATCCCATGTACAGTTTTTGAATAATTGTCATCTGATTATTACCAATTTTACTATATAGAGCTTATAGTTATTGTTGCTCTAATATTGATAACTTTGTTCGAATATGTCTACGAAAATCAAATTTGCAATTTTGTTTATTGAAAATGCATTTGTTGAGGTTTCTTGAAGACATAGATACGTTTTGTCATTTTGTGGACAAATCATTGGAAGAATGAATGAAGAAACTATAAGGATTTCCATAGAATCCCGAAGCCAGAGTTTTAAAAATTGGAAATTGGTGGTTTTATGCGGTTACTGGATGGATCAAAGAAGCATTGCAATGCAAAAATATTCAAGAAAATGCTAGTAATGCTTATGAAAAGCTTTGATACCGTTGGTGAAATATTTAGCACATCACCAAAACTAATTTTCATGAGTTTGGTAGTGAATATTTCATACTTTATAATGGTTTTGATACAAGTTTGAAGAATATTTATTGGCTCCAACTTTATGGTAAGTTTAAGAGACTTCCAAGGAAAATTAATATTTTTTTCAGTTCCTGATGATAATCGGTCTGTTTCTGCAGAAATCACAAACCAGTCAGAGCGAATTTCATTGGTTGAAAATAGTCAGAAAACTAGTTTCAACCAATGAAATTCACTCTGACTGGTTTGTGATTTCTGCAGAAACAGACCCAATATAAACTATCACTGCTGGAAACCACAAAAAAATTATTTTTTTCCATTATTCTGAATTTTTTTTTGTATATGTTTTCATATTGATCCAGAAGAGTGCGCCTGTAATGAAATCAATAAAAGAAGCTTTAAAAACTTGTTGAATATTATCAAAATTATAAAAGCTAAAAGCAACCAGATTTTTCTATGAATTCTATAACTCTTTCAAAAAGTATTGGGACGAAAAGTGTGATGATGTTCAGATCTGTAGAAAAAATTGATTTTTATGCAGCAAAAGTACAGGGTGTTTTTGTCATATATTGACGCCCCACCTACAGCCTTTATCTTTACAGGTAGAAGACAGGTGTAGATACAAAAGTTGTACTGAATTTTTAGAAACCATGGTCAGGAACAAAATTTGAATGTCAGAAATGTGAAATTTTGCATGCTTCCAGCTTTTTTCAAATGGGTTGCCCTATATTTCATTCTATATTCTTGAAGAGCACAATGTTCCGATTCCAAAAATATATAGTTTGTCTATATTTGATTGAACATTAAATATTCGGTTCCAAAAATTGTAAAAATACTATCCTACTACTGATTTTGTGAACCATTCTACCTGTATAGGTGAAAGCTGCAAGTAAAATTCGAGGTACTTGTTTTCTCTGAAAGTATTTTTACAATTTTTAAAACCAAATATGTTGGAGACGGCTCAACCAAATATAAACAAACTATATAGATTTAGCATCCCATTTGAAAAAAGCTGAAAGCATGCAATATTTCACATTTCTGACATTCAATTTTTGTTTCTGACCATGGATTCTAGAAATTTAGCCAATACTGTACAACTTTTGTATTTACAGCTTTCATTTACTTGTAAAGGTGAAGGCTGTAGTTGGGGTGTTAATATATACAAAAACACCCTGTACTTGAACAATAACTTATTACCTATATAAGGTTAGAATTTGTAAGATTGTCCACTTTTTGTCAATTTGCCTTATATCAGGAATTAGTAATGTTACTTTACCAAACTAGTAATATAATGTGACAAGTTATTCAAGTAAAAACGGGTAGATTGTTGCGGAATTTATGGGTGGACCTCTGCGGGACGAGCGCAGCGAGTTCCGCAGCCATCTATTCATCAATATGTTGTTTAATTAAGATACTAACCGGACTCACTCAAATGTGAGTTGCCTTACTTGAACAGTTCAACAGTATATTAGTGAGTAGATGGCTGTGGAACTCGCTGCGCTCGTCCCGCAGAGGTCCATACGTAAGTTCCGCAATAATCCACTTATTTGTACAGGGTGTTTTTTTATATATGGACACCCCACCTACAGCCTTTACCTTTACAAGTAGGAGAAAGGTGTAGATACAAAGGTTGTACAGTTTTGGCTGAATTTTTAGAAACCATGGTCAGAAACAAAATTTGAATGTCAGAAATGTGAAATTTTGTATGCTTCCAGCTTTTTTCCAAATGGGATGTCCTATATTTCATTCTATATTCTTGAAGAGCACAATGCCCCGATCTATATTTGATTGAGCAATCTTTCATATATTTGGCTCCAAAAATTGTAAAAATACTATCCTACTGAACTTCGTTGACCAGTCAGAAACAACTACTTCGAGGGCAAATACTCCTACCGGCGTTGAACAACACTGATTGGTCTGAGCTTTCTTTGGCAATGGAAATTGTTAGAACTATTTTTTTCTAACACTATCCTACTACTGATATTGTGAACCATTCTACCTGTATTATAGATCATATTTTCATTAAAATAAACAACCACCTATGCAATAATCTTAAACCAAACCCCTATATTTTGAAAACGTCAGTAACAGATCACTTTTCCACCTTATTATATCTAGAAACATCCATAAACAAACAAGAAACGCTAAACAAATCACATAGAAACTTTGAACTCAACTAAGCTTACTCAACTTATAAAAAACGAAAGATGGGATGATATCTATTCGGAGGACAATATCGATCAAATGGCTCGAAAAATGGTTTTGAAAATCAAATATTTTGTAAGTTTAAGTAGGTACTACAAAGAAATGTATGAGTGTACACAACAGAACCAACAACAAAAAGGATTGGATCTCTCCAGAAATAATACAACTTATAAAAGAACGTGACAAACAACAAAAACGGATGCATACAAATCCCAACAACATAGAAATTAAAAATTATTATAAAATTTTAAGAAACAGAATAAGCACCTTAATAAAGAGAACAAAAAATAACTTTTATAAAGATAGGATTTTTGCAGCCAAGGGTAATATTAAACAAACGTGGGAAGTGATTAATGATGCAACAAATAATGTTCATAAAAACAATAAAAACAGAACAACAAAGATTGAAAAAGAAAACGAGAGTCTCACGCAGAATAAAAATATAGCAAACGAATTCAATAGATTTTTTACAAGTGTCGGCCTAAACATGGCAAAAAAGATAAATAATGTCAACAATGACAACGTGATTCAACAAAGTAGCATATCTCAGTCTCTTTTTCTAAAGCCAGTTACAAAAAGGGAAATAAAAGAATCAATAATAAGTTTGAAAAATGGTGCTAGTCCGGGACCTGATGGAATAAGATCAACATGGTTGAAGCTAGTAGCCGATTTCATAACGCCTCCTATTACCTATATGGTGAATAAAATTTTTGAGCAAGGTAAATTTCCAAAAATCTTCAAAAAAACAGTAGTTGTACCTATTTTCAAACAGGGTGACCCGGCTCAGGTAACAAACTATCGACCAATCTCTTTAGTAAGCAATATCGCTAAGATAATCGAAAAGACAATGAAAAACAGAATTGAAGACTTCTTGGAAAAGCACAACATCATTTCGAATAAAGAATTTGGTTTTAAAAAGGGTGTCTCAACAGTAGACGCAATGCACATGTTGGTTGGCCATTTGCACGCTGCCTTGAATTCTGGTCAGAA